GCCTCCGGGAAGGGGCAGGGGGCCTGGCACCTACCGGTGGCTGCCTTGGCCCTGGGAGATGCTGCAGGGCTGCTTCAGCCACTGTCCGCACAGGGACTTCTCCTTTCAGGGTAGGCTGGGCACACCCAGGGTTATATCAGGAGTTGGGGCTGGGTTTTGTGGAAGGGTCCGGTGGCCCTGCAGCAGGGGCAAAGGGAGCTGGGAGGAGGAGTGCTTGCCGTGAGTTCCCGTGTTTCTGCCTCCTGCCTGCGGGTTGGGGAGGGCAGCGCTGCTCCGGCCTGCGGCACCACCCTGGTGGGAGGGACATTTTTAAGGACTGGCAACTCTGCTTAAAAATGCAAAAGCTGAGGTTGTTCGGGAGCAGAAATCCCGAAGCCTTTGCCAGGGGGACCTTGGCGCTTGCTGCTGGCGCGTGGGCAGACGGCGTTTCGTTGGCAGCAGCTCAGAGCTGGCTGCGCAGAGTGGGTCCTCATCTGCATGCGGGTCCTGCCTCCCACGGGCCTCGGCTGCGCAGGGCTGATGAACACGAGGAGCGTGGCTGCAGGGACACGGGTGAGCACCCTGAGGCTGCTGGCGGTGGGGGAGTCTGGCCCCCTGCCTGTGGCACAGGCGGCAGGGCCTTTGATCTCCATGTGCCAGCAGCCCTGACTGTCACTTTAGCGGTGAAATTTGTCACAAAGCTGCAGAAAGATGGGCTGTCATGAAGACAAAAGCCCTCCTGAAGAAGAAAAGGAGTGGAGCACCCCAGGGGCTGCAGGGGGCTGACGGGGCACAGGAGCGGCTTGCGTGGATCCCGGTGGGGCCATCCTTCCACTGGCCCTTCTCATAGCACTGGCCCAGCAAAACCAGCACATGGGCATAAACCCAGGCTGCGGGCTCGCTGGCAGTGTCCCGAGCAGAGCAACGGCCTTGCTGATGTGGGTAAGGATGAGCTTCCTGCTGCTGTGGTGCAGAGGACGGGGTCAACTTTCAGAGAGCTGCTGCTGTTTAAAAAAAGCCACCTGGGGCTTAGGGGAGACGGTTTAGCCTGGAAAGGCTGGTGCTGCATTTCTTCTTCCTTTCTCGTGGGCCCCATGGGAATGGTGCCTTGCCTGCATGCTTAATTAAGGCTTAATTCAGTAAAAATCAAAAAGGGGAGTCAAACCGTTTAGCATGACACCCCAGCCCATGCCACGGATGAGCCCCTACCTTCAAAACCTGGGTCGGCAGGAGGGAGGAGACCCAGGAATGGTGATGGCAATGGCTGGAGAAGCTTTGCAGGGCAGCAGGA